GCGTTCTGACTTCAGAGCAACTTGGCAGACGTGTTGAGAATCGGTGCCAGAGAGGATAAGAGAGGAGGAAGGGAGTCAGGTGGATATGAAGCTAACACACACACACACACACACACAAACACAGTTGTGGTTGTTTTCCAAACCTTCCTTCCTGGCTTTATTTGTTTTGTAACATGTACACACTCAAAGAAACAAGATGCCCTCACCATCTCTTGTATTCTCTCTCTCTCTCTCGCACACACAGACACACAGACACACACACACACACACACCCAAACACATAACCTCTGCTTTAATGAGAAGCAACATGATGCAGGAGGGGATACTGATTATTAAGTGTAACACTGGGTGAAGGGTATGTGTGTGTGTGTGTGTGTGTGTGTAGTAACACCGCCTGGCAAAGACTGACAGCCTGGGTAATGCTTCTCATTCACCTGAACACTGGTACACATTAGTGAATGGAAAGAGGGCTTTGGAGTGAGAGAAGGAAGAGATTTGTGACAGAGAAGAAAGACCAAAAAGTAGTAAGGGGAGGTCAGAAAAGTGAGGGCAAAGATGAAAAACAGGTGCAGAAGGGAGAAAGATAGGACAGTGTGAGACAAGAAAATATAGTGAATAGATTAAGATCAGAAAGGTAGAGATAGGAGAGCGATCAAGGGAGAGGGAAAGACGGACAGGGGGATGGGAGAAAGGAAAAATGAGAAAGGGGGAGACAAAGACTTTTGATTCGCCTCAAATCTTCAAAACTAGAAACATTAAAGTTTTCTTACTTTTCTCCACATTGCTCTTATTTTTCTTCTTGTCTCTCTACGTTAAGGAAGCAAATACATACATCATACAGCTTTGGGATAACCAAAGATTTTTGTCTAAAATCAAAACATTTTCAACTCACACAGATGTGTCAATTTGGCTAGTCAAGAGCTATACCAAGAGCATTATTTTTGTTCTTTTATTGACTTTTATCGCATCCAGTTACCTCTAAAATGTTTATTCTAAACATAACTTCAGAAAGTAAACAGTAATTAAAAAGGATGAGGGGAAACACTACAAGCAGACAAACAAGCAAACAGATGTCTACACTCAACAAAATACTAATAATAGTTATTTCTTGCAGCCTATGAGTTTTTTAGTTTCCAATCAGCTCCTCTTGGGAAGAAAAAAAGCCCATCAATGTTTGCTCAAACATGCAACAGAAAAGTGTTTTTTTCTATATTTGGGAAGGCATATTGTTTTTAGCAGAAGATTAGAGGGGGACTGTAAAACTGAAAACTGCTTGGTGGTTTAAATCATTTGTGAATGTTTACATCGCAAGAAACAGAAGCTAACTGGCAGAATAACATAAAAAATACTAATAAACAGACTCAAATATACTGCGTAGGACTGCACATGAAGACCTATATTGGTCTTGATGTGAAACAAAAACAAACAAAAGCATAAAAAAACATACACCTTTACCTCACATTACTTCTCCTAGACCCCCCCCCCCCCCACACACACACACACACAACACACACACAAATCCCCTTTTTGCACATACCTTATGTAAATGCTTGCCAATACATCTGTTTATTTTGAAGGCATGCTTCTGTTGAATTATAAATGACCATATGGCAAGGGAAGGTTGTATAGACTGAGGGCAGAGAAGCAGAGGAATAAGGAGAAGGAGAAATGAAGAGGAGGGGAAGGGGGAGAGAGAGGAGGAAATAGAAGCAGACAGATGCCTGTAATGAGGAAACACTACAGTGCTTTGCCTCAACCCATATACTGTCAGAGGTAATCAGACAGGATGAATGGATGGATAGAGAGGAGAGGAGATGAGAGGAGATTAGAGGAAAGAAAGAAAGAAAGACAGAAAGAAAAAGCTAACAAGTGGAGATAGACATACGTGGAGTGAAAGGGAGATGCATGAGACTAAAGGTAAGAGAAGAGATGGATTTAAAGTGAAGGTGAAAATTGGTGTAAAAAATTCAAGAAAAGGACATTTGAGATGAAAAGAAACGTTACAATGAGAGAAAAAGAGAGGGAGGTGGTGGACTGGAGAGAATGAGGGATCAGACGGGACAAGAGGGAAGCATGAGGAGAAGAACAGATGGAGCAGAAAGGATAAAAAAAGAAGAGCAGGACGGTGAGAAGAGGATGAAAAAGAAGGAGAAAAGACAGCAAGAAAAATAAGATTGTTGGCTACAAAGAGAGTGAAAAGAAGGGGAGAAAAGTAGAAGTACAGAAAGGGAAGGGAGAAAAGAAAGTTCAGGGTGGACGAGGGGAAAAGGGGGAGGAGGAAAGGAGGGAAAACGTTGAGGAGACAGGAGGACAGGAGGCTGCTAGATTAACATTTATTCAGTGTGCTGAAAGGATTTCAAACATGCCATCAACTGTTTGTGTTTGGCAGATGGCAGTTTGGCAGGCTGGAAGAAGAGTGCGTTAACACTTCAACTCAAATCAGCCCTTTTCAAACTGCGCAAGAGAAAGAGGTAGTGAACAGTACTACATGTGTTGGTGCGTGTGTGTGTGAGAAAGATGAGTGTGACAGAAGTCACAGAAAGTCAAATGTCCTCACAAGAATAGAAAAATTATCACAGCTGCCTCTGAGGGGATTTTTAGGGTCAGATCTTGGGTGTATGTTTAAGTCTTGCAAAGCTAGGCCACAAATTTTGCTCCCTTCATTGTTATCTGCCAAGGCTCAATAAGCATTTGCTTGGGTTAGAGGTACTGTCACTGGAGGATGACTAAAATGACTTTCCAGGCGACCAGATCAGACTTGAACCAGTAAACAAAGATTTCATTTGAACCTCTTCTTCTGTGAGGCTTCAACCCTTTCTGTTGCCACTTATGGTGTGGTCATATTCTTTGTCTACTGGTTTTCAAAATGTAAAACTATGTTGGATGTTCAGAAAACATAAAAAATTGCTCCCTAACTTGTCACTGAAATTGGTCACGGAGTTTGCTGTTGGGCCCAACTAATGCTCGGTGAAAGTTTTCCACACTAGCAAACAATGAGAACACAATACATGCTACTGAAAAGGGTCTTGGGTTAAGATTATCCTAATGTAGTACATTTTCTGTAAATTCTGTGGAATATTTGGTCATATTGTCAATTATTTTCAAAGTGGATCAGTATAGGTTTTTTGCATGTCATGCTTCTGTAACTTCAAACCTAAAATGCATTCAAGTTACAATACTGTTATTAATATTGAGGTAGTGACAGTAAGGATTAGGGTTGGTGGCAAAGGAATATAGTACCATATACAGAACTATACAGCGTGTGTAAGACAGAATTTATCCTATTGTGAGGCAGTTCTGTTCTGAGATTGTTTCTCTCAAGCTCCAAAGCAGAAGGCAACCTGACTAAAAAAAGACATCAGACCCTTTTACCCATATTTAAAGTTTTAGCTTAGCCAGTTGGTGTGCCTGTCTCACCACATCCCCTTGTTCTAATAAAGACAGCACACAAAGTCATTTCCCCAGGGGCCTCTTAAAACATTTTCTAAAGAAAATGAGCCTTTGTACAATCACAGCAAGCAAGATGGACAGTTTCCATTACCAGGCCCTTGTAATTAAAGGATTTGTACTAATAGCAAATTTATCATAATTCCTGTTGGCTATCAAGTTCTTGACAGGCTATTTCATTTCAGCGCAATATTTCATTTTAAAGCCTTCAGGTTAGTGCAGTGTCTTTCCTTTGACATCTAAACCCTCGTAATGAGATGTACACATGCACAGATCTGTGTGAGCAAACACACACTTATGAATTGCTATGTAAGCGCACAAGCAGAATGTTCTGGATCATACCGGCCATGTGTGTGCATCCGAGTCCAACAGCATAGACAGACGCACGCACACACATACACACCCATAAACTATTCAATAGCAAACAATCTGCTTGCATTGTTCTATCGTAATAGAGGCCCTGAGGTTGCTTTCGCCAAGATAACAAGCACACGCACACATCTACGGAACATAGAATCAGTTAGACGTCATTAGTGCACAGAGAGTCATAGCAAACATTTGACACAGCCTCACATTCACATGCTAATTCTGACTCTAATGGCCAAACGCACACACATACACACTAACACGCTACATGGAGTACGTGCCTCTCTCTGCACATGATCACAGCAGCCTGTCTTTGCTCCAAAATGAAGCTTCATTTTGACAAAAGAATAAAAAAAGAGTCTGCAGGCTTTGATCATGAAGCAGGATTGAAATAAAATCCCTATGCAAACTGAAAGTTATTTTTGCAATAGTAGTTCCTGTATTGGACTTTAGAATTAGTTTGAATGGACTTTGATTTATATTCTAAAAAAGAATGGATCTCATCCATATGTATATTCTATTTTCTATTAAAAACATTGTTTTGCTTTGATTAATTTGGTGTCACTGTCAGAGGTAGTGAAAATGTCAAATGTTATAATCTCTTAGAAACGTTCTGGGGAGTGTGTTGGTCCTGGCTGATTCACCAAGACCACGTTCTACTGGCATCTGGCTCTCAGCAGGTAGTTACATCTAATAGTAGGACACACCCAGAGCAGGGGGGAGTCCGTCAGTGACTCGTTGAAGGACACTTCAGCAGGGCAGAGGGTTGCCAGCACAGAGGATTGGACCTGTGTCCTCCAGGCATCTTCACACATATCAAACGACACCCAGCCATAAGAGAGAGGTTTGTCCATACAAATTCAGTGTGCTGATTATGGAGGTGAAAAAAACAGACGTCTAACCACTGGTTTAATAAAACATGCACGCTGGACAGTTAATTGAGAAAAGTTTTTGCATTTAAGTAACATCCAAATGAAGAACAACAACTAAGCAATTCTGCTCACACCAAATGAATCAAACCAACAAAAACTTCACTTAATGATTTAAATTAAACTGTACTGAACCAACCCAGACTTAACTTAACTACACTATACCTCACTAAGCTAAACTGAAGTTCTAACTGCGCTAATTTAAATCAATACCAAAATCTACTGTGAGTAGTTCATCTATGTCATTGCAGTACTCACAAGCGATGATGTTGCCATAGCGATTCTTGTTGCGGTTCTCATCCTTCTTGGCCGTTTCCCAGGGCGCCGTCTGTCCTTCCGCTAAGGCCTGTACATGTACACGTGCGCACACACACACACACACACACACACACACACACACACACAAACACACGACAACAGTTTCATATTGAGGTATGAACACACAGAGATATACATGCACATATGGCCTGACGCCCTGAGCTTGAACACTGATACATGGCAGGCAGAAGTTAGAACAGTAACATGAATATTAATGAGAAAACAATCAACTGTTTGCAACAGACCATACTCTTAACAGCTTAGGACACTGAGGGTAATATGGCTGAAACATAACAGAACAGAATATGGAAAAGCTTACAGGCAAGTCACTTAAAATATATATACAAAAATAAGATGCACAGTACGCCTAGTTGGTTCTTTTTTTTAAAGTTTTTTGGGGCTTTTTTTGCCTTTACTTGAGATAAGACAGATGAGAAACAGATAATGTGGAGGGGAAAGGGGGGACAACATGCAGCAAAGGACCGTGGACCGGACTCAAAACCATGCCACTGCAGCAAGGATTCAGCCTTTGTACACTGGGCGTGCTCTCTAGCAATGAGCTAACCAACTCCCCTGCCTAGCTGTTTCTAATTAAACTTATTAGAATTTAATTATTAGAATTCATTCTAATAATCTAGTAATTTCTCCTTATTTTTATAAAACCATTAGCTTTTTAGTGTAAATTGCTCATAATTACTCAATTGGTCTCACTGTCAGAGGTAGTAAGAATGTAATTTTACTGCTAGAAACATAACATCTGAAAGGATCAGAATGTCTATAAAGCAGAATATTGAACACAGTGGCAGTAATGTTTATGTTTATGTGAATGCAATACCAAGAACAGTTGCAATATGAATAATAGTGGATCCAGTAGTCACTTGACTAAGAGCAAGGTCCATCTTACAGACACTGGAGAACTCTTCATGTGTTCCTTTATGGTTTGTTTCCCTGGTTTAGTTTTCTCTAAAAAGTAACGCTGCTCCTCAGCCATCGTAAATGTCCAAAATTTTAGAACTTCCAGACAGCATGTAAACACAGCACAGAAGTTAAGACTAGAAAGATTCTGATAGTGGAAATTCAATATATGAATCCAAATATGGTCAATAGATCCTTTGACCAGGTAACGTGTGTGAGTGTGTGTATGATCACTCTTAAGCTTGGTTCTCAAAGGCTGCCATATGGACATTGAACACAATGTTTATAACACACTGGAAGAGGTCACGCACACACACACACACACACACACACACACACACACACACACACACACACACACACACACATACACGCACGCACGCACAGTCATTCACCCTATAGGGAAGAGTGAACAGTCCGTTTAGAGTCCATATAGGGCTTAAGAAGATCAGACAACAGTTTTCACTTTCAGACAGTGACATGACCTACATACACATGCACACACATGCACCTACACACACACAAACACACATGCACACTATACTGTACAAATGCACTGTGACAGAAAAACAGACATCTAAACTTATCGCTCAGTCAAGCAGAAAACTGATGCTTTTACAGTGGCAGGTGGCCTAAGAGAGAGAGAGAGATTGTGTGTGTGTGTGTGTGTGTGTGTGTGTGTGTTTGTGTGTGTGTGTACTGTTTGTGTGAAATTTCTCAGTAGCATACATTTGTTTACAAAAACTGGGCAAAGAATTTTTTTGTACATTTTAGGTAGGAGGCTTCTGTAGGAGGGTTATGCATGTGTGTGTGTGTGTGTGTGTGTGTGTGTGTGCACATTTGCATAAGGTGTGGGATGGCTGTTCTTTTTTAACCTAAAAAAATAGCAAGTCTTAATCAAACCCCTCTCATCTGAATTCCTTCACTTTTTGGGATTACTAATATGCTATATAAATACAGTGTAGGATGGATGGAGAGAGGACAGCAAGCACACATTCGCACACATACACTAATAAACACACACTGCCTCTGCTATACCACTGAGTGGTTACTTCAGTTTTCCTTTATGCAATAATGATTCAACTACTGCTAAAATAATTCTATTTAAAAACTCACAACTAGATTATAACATACTGTAATTACCACATGTTTATTCCTCATGAGATATGTGTTTAAAAAAAAGTTTCACGACTATCAGTTGAAGAAGCTTTTGAGCATATACTAGTTTAATTGTAGTCGAAAAATATATTTCTTAGAAGTACACTTAAATATTAAACCCGTGCTAAAACAACAGCATTGTTTTGTTGTTTGTTAAAACATTTGTTTATGTTAATCTCTTATGTAAAAGTAAAGGTATGGTTGAGCAGATAAATGAAACTGAAGTTTGTGTCCAGACTGGACAACATTGGTTTTCATTAAACATTATGGCTATTATACTCCAAGGCAGGGTTTGAGTTTTAATCTGAACTTCGTAGGGGTCTCTAATGTGCTACTTAACATTAGCGGGGGGATGGGGGGGGTTAGAGTGAGAGAGAGATCATTGCTTATTACGTGATTCAACATTTCCCTCTCTCACACACATGCCAACGCAACACACACACAGCAGTCCACTACTTGCCCCAGATGCCCCAGATGTCTGTGATATTGCAACAGGGTGTAGGCCTACTCACACTAGGCAATCCGTTAAGTTTCAATCACCTGAAAAATGCCATCAAAGACTATTGCTCAAGGAGAGACCGCAATTCCGCTCTTTATGGTAATATTAAAGTTTTATTATTTTGCGCACTGCTTGTTGCCGGCACACAGTATCAAGCATATTATAATTTGTAGCACTGTACTAATTGGAGGATGCATCAAAAAGCCAATAATACTAAACCAATAAGCTGCAGTCAATACAGACTAATACAGTAGGCTACAATACAACTGTATTGAGGCTACTGCCTCAACCTGTTTGGTCAAAACTGTGCGCACCGTAGTGGCTGATTGTGGAGAAGTGCAGCCATCCTGTCAGTCATGCAATGCGAAGCGTAGTTCATTAGGAAAGTGTGTTCATTTAAGTCTGTTTATCTTGTTTAATGTAAATAATAGTAGGTACTAATTACAATGAAAGATACATTATTTGTGACTCAAAATAATGGTTGTTGATGAATGAATTAGAGACCCCCACAGATGCATGATTTTACTGATTCCATGGGGGCTCAGATCATCCTTATGGGAGCTGAGCTCCCACTGGCTCCCACATAACTCGAACCCTGCTCTAAGGGCTGTCTGACGGCAAGGTAAAGCGGTTAAACTATTTAAAATATATTGCACACTTACACTGATACAATTTTCTTCAGGTGGGCCTATGAATAAGAACCTCGTTCAACCGTACTTCAAAAAACCTGAACTATCCATTTAATAATTAGCTTTTTCACATGATAAACCTGAAGAAAATGGTGCGTCCAGTTGTGTGGAGAACTGTAATATACAGTTTTTTTTACATAGAATAAAATTTAACATATATGGGGTGGTGATGGAGCAGTGGAGAAGACACATGCCTTTGGAGTGAAAAACCCGGGTTCAATTCCCCACTGTAACACATCCACCAATGTGTCCCTGAGCAAGACACTCCAGCAGAGGGTGACCTCTGACATATATATCAGTTGTAAGTTGCTGTGGATAAAAGCGTCAGCAAAATGAAGTATTGTAGCATTAAAGGTCACATTATATAAAATTTTAGTTTATAGTGGCCACAGTACTGGCCAGTCTTCAAACAATGCAGAATATTGCTTTTAATGCAAAAGGTGTAATCCCAGTGGGGAGCGACTGACGTGTTGACAGTGTGGCTGATGTTGGTGTTAGTGTTAGTGGGGTTAATGGGCTTCAACACTGGAGGTCACATCACACTCAGAGCATTACTTCAATAATGTGTTTGTGTTTAACTATACTGTATACTGTCCAGTGTATGACTTTCTCCATTAACTGTTAGTGACTGTCTCTTTATCTTTCTCCCTCTCTCTCTCTCTGCATGCACACACACACCACACACACACACACACACACACACACACACACCCTAGAGAATAAATCACATTTGCTCTCCCCTGAAACGTATCAGTGGGTATAAACCAAAATGACAGGAAGCAAATGAAAATATAACGTACAGCATCACGGAGGGACAATTTTCAACACCCATGCAGAGTTGGTAATAGAAAATATTCATTCTTTTGAGAGTGGAATGGAGAAGGAGAGTAGCATACTTTTCCTTGTGTCTTTTCAAAGATTCATTTTTAGCAGGAGAGACAATGAAGGTAGAATAAAATGAAGAGAGGGAGGAAGAAGGGTTTGGTACAGGAATAAATGAATGAAAGGGAGAGAATGAGGATTTGGAAGGAAAATGATCTCATGGTAGAGCACCCATGACAAAGAATGATTGTAAACATGTCTGTTTGTGATAAATTGTGCTCTAAACAGCCAAGGCAGAGACAGAAAGACAAAGTAAAAAAAATCAAGGGCTTATGTATAAAGAGAGAGAAGGGAGTAATAAGGACTATTAGAAATAGGGGAGAAAAAAGAAACATGAAATGAAGAAGAGAGTGAGAAATACAAATTGAGTGAAACACAATGTAGACATACTAAAATAAGTAGAGGAAGGAAGAAAGAAAGATTTAAGCAGAGCAAAAAAGCTGATGGAAACTCATATTTAGGGGAAGACAATAAGGGAGAGGACAAGAGAAATTTGCAAAAAAATGGGAGATAAGATACACTGACAAAAAGTAAGTACAAAATCGGTGGTGATATTAGAAAAATAATAAACAATATATAAGCCAAGAAAAAAAGCAACAAGGAAAGAGAAAAGAGAAACTGGGGAGAAAATAAAGTAAGCGACAGAGAGTTTGTTTTACTGATCATCAATATTGATGAGGTAAAGAGTTAATAATTAAAGAGTCATACTCCCTCATTAAACCAAATCATTCCCATACACATACATACTGTACATGCAGTATACACACACACACGCTACACAACAAGAAAAGAGAGGAAATATGGATACAAAAATAAAGGCATCTAATTCCCAAGCTAATAAAAACATAATTTATTTATTTTATTTTGATATAATTATTGAATCTTAAACTGAAAACTGACAACCGGTGCCCACTCACACATCACTCTATAAAAAATATCTTAATCATTCCTCACACGCTAGCTCAGTGCTAAAGAGCACACCATCTCGAAGCAGTTGAGGCCGTTTCACCTTGTTTACTATAATGATCGTTTGTATTGTTCATTCGAAACGGCATCTTGTTTGTCTTTTTTTTTTTTTTTGCTTTGCAGCATATGTGTGAACTTCTATACAGGGTCATGGGGGCAGCTCAAGCATATCCCATATTGCACTAAACAAGAGGCAAGGATACACCCCATACATGGTGCCAGTGTAGCTTAGGGCTTTGCAATAGCCATGTGCTCATTATAAAAGAAAATTCTTCTCTCTCTGACTCATTCTTTTACCAGCAGCTATATTTATACATTCTGGGTCACACAAAAATTTTATTATACCTATTATCTGGGTGCTGTAGCTGCAGACCTTTGACCTTTTTATTAATAGCTGCTTGTAATGTTGTCAATGTAAAGATTGATGTCTATTTTACTGTTGTTCTCATTATAAGCCTATTTGTGAGTGTGTGTGCATACCTCATATTCCTCCTTGAAACCATAGCCCTGTCCACATTTCATCTGCGTGATGTGTTGAAGGAGGTCGGCAACTCGAATGGCCGGCTGAAACTGGCCTGCCTGGAATTGACCTGCAGGAACAGAAACGTTTTACAGAGAAAGAGGCAGAAGGATGTGAATATGTAAACCTCCTGTGAGTATGTGGGGGGGGGGAGTGGGTTGACGGATGGAAGGATCTTAAAAAATATCATACCCAATTGCAGTTCTAATACAGTAAGTCTTGTAGAGAATTCTCTTCTTAGCTAAATAACCAACTCGTGCTCAGCCATTAAAGCAGCTAACTAAAGTAGAAAATTAAGAGCCTTTATCTTTAGAACTAATGAACTGACCAGCCAATTCACTGTATACATGACAAATTTAATATCTTTGCTTCTATGTAACCAAGTAATTTGCAATAAGTGAATAAGTATGACTTGTTCTAAGCATCTGACAATACAAAACATTTGAAATAGTCAAATAAGTAACTGACTATGCAAAATATAGACTTTTTCTCAACACAACTAATTTGTCTTATCTCCACACTAGCGTTCTGACTTTGTACTGTCAGATTATATCTGTATCTGGCAGGTAACTTATTAACTACTTTACATGTTTCACTCATATACTTCTATTTAGCAAATGCTGACATTCTTATTAAATGCCTATTTTCTTAAATAACCATCTAGTGACCTGACTTATTAACAAAGTAGTGTGTTTTCTAGTAAACTGCTTAAAGCTCTGAAACCAAAACCTTTAGCATAATGAAGCTGCGCTGTGAGCCCTGATGTTGCTACAATACAGGCAGTCAGAAACAAACTGAATGAGATTTTGAACTATGCAGCCTAAAATACTCACTTGATCACACAGGTGCAACAGATATGTCTCTCCAGGCTACTTTCATTTTAATTAATGTCATGAAAACAGCTTGAGTGCATATCAGAAACTCAGCTGCTCAGCAAGAGCCACACTCTTAATACTTTCTCCTGTCCTACTTAACAATTGTGACAAGGTAAACTGCTGTCAACTGTGGATGAACAAAAAGAACTTCTATTCCACGTTTAGAGGTATTTAGTGTGAGGCTCAAATAGCCATAAGTAACTTACAGATTTACAGACTAACTGACTGAACAAATAATTACTGACCAACTAATTATCTTCCTGACTGACAGTCTAAATGGCTAGTTAGCTAATTTACCAACTAACTGACTGACTGACTAACTCACCAACTAACTTACGTTCTGTGCACATACCACTCTGGTAGGAGAGCTCCACAGACTCACAGCCTCCATAGGGAAAACTCTGCAGGGTCAGAGAGGGTTGGGCGAGTGACGGCTGGCTACTGTCTGTTAATGGAGAGAGAGAGGGGGGTAGAATATGTTACCATGACAACAGACCTCCCCTCTGTGACAACCTCCCACTCACCCCCACACACACTCTCTACATGTGCACTATATGGAGACAGTCTAAGTGAGAGAGGATTTGCTGCTGATGACAAGTGCTGGGTAAAATGAGTCACTTAGAACCCTGAGCCCTGATTGGTGGGCATGCGGATTAGGACAGTTAATTATAATATCTCTCCTCCTATAATGAAATAGACAGATTGACTGGATGGGTGTATGGGTCCTATTAGTCGGAACAGATGGAGAGATACATGGAGGTTTCGGGGGACAAAGGGGCTGATGAAGGAATGTTGCATGTCAAGAGCTGCGCCAGAGGACCAAAGTAAAAAGGATAGTTTTAAAGTTTTGTGGAGGCAGCTTTAAATGTGGGTGGCAGCAATACATAAATCCACTCTGCATAAGAGAAATGCGTTTATTTTTTTTGTCCATCACTTATTTTCTCTTTATTGTTAGATCACCTTTTGTATCTCAGCCAAGCAAGTGAAACTGAAATTCTCTTTGGGCAAATGTAAAAACAGGAGGACAGAAACACACAGACTGAGAGAAAGAGGACATGGGACAAGACAAGAAAAAGGGAGAAAAGAAAAGAATTGAGAAGATGACATTAAATGAATGAGGAGAAACGTTAATAAATGAGTTTCCAATAGTTGGTTTTATAGTATTAGAATTTTGCCTATTGATGTGGTGTTATGGCTTCTGACAACCAGCCAGACCAGTAGACTCACTGAAGTGGAAGAATTTTAGAAGGAAAAAGGGTTGTTATATAAATCTGCATGACTCTATGATTTCTTAATAGAGCTATTTGCATGTTAATGATGGCGGTGGATTCATTAGTGGCCTAAAGTGGCTTCTCCATGAGCCAATCTAAACACTGGCTTCCCTAAACGAATGAAGAATGAGCCGGCCACATGGGTCACTTCCTACTTGGGCGTGTGTGTATGTGCGTTTGAGTAATTGTGTTCTGTGTGTGTGCTCAAGAGAAAGGAATGAAAAACATCCAAGTAGATCTAAGGATTTGATTCAGTCATTCAAATATCTGACAAGTGCTGTTGTATTATCTGTCATAAAAGAATAAAAGACAGAATGAGAAGAACTGAGATGAAAGAAGAAAGAAGGAAAGACATGAGAGCGGGCAGAGAAGAACAAATGGGAGGCAAAAAGAAGAAATAGGAGAAAGGGGAAAAAGAAGGAGAGCGATGTGGCAAAAAAAGATGAGGCAATAAAAGAAAAGATAGCAGATAGAAAGGTGGAGAGTTCAGAAGAGAGATGGGACAGGAGATAGATGAAGGGGAAAAGTGGAGGAAAGACAGGCGTAAAGAGTTTAGGAGAAACATAGAGGTGAGACAGGACAAACACAAACTATCAGCTCATTGAAACAGAACTGGGTGTTACTTTACATTTCTCTTTTACACTCTCTCTCCAAAATAGTTCAGTTGAGAATTTACTCTAGCACTTCAACTTTTCTCATCCTCCTTTTCTACATCCTCCTTAGAACTCCAGATGCAACCCCATCTCTTTCTACTAATTTGCTTTGTTAAAAAAGTTTCAGAAGAAACATAATTGCAGCCCAGATTCAGGAAGTGTGACATCCATCCTTCCACACTTTACAGAAGTCATAAGGAGGGGTCATTGTGGATGATTGGATGTAAAAAGTGTTGGACATTAACGCCAGAGACAATTGTTCACATTTTGTGAGCTGGGTAAAGAAAAGGATTTTTGTAAATATTAAAAAAGTCTACATGTCTGTTCAGTGCTCCAAGTCACTGACTTTATCAATATTTAGACCATGCACATCTTTGCCTAACTTTAATCAAGAGACATTAATGTTTTGTTTCCAGGAGCCAATCTTGCAGGGAAACATATTAAATATATGAATGTAATATTTAGTAGACTGGGTTGCCTGATGCAACATGATGTACTTTGTTAGTCAAAGTTATATTGATTCCATGACTTGTGGTTTGTTTGGCTAATCTTGTTTTTCCAAAAGAGGACACAGTCAGGTGAAAACTACTTAGTTGTAAACTTGCCTGTTGTTTCCTAACCTCCCAGAAGCAATTTTCAAACTCACTGACATTTTCTATGTATACCAGCAGGAGACACTGTGCCTTTGCTTGCCTTTCTTGCCCTCTTTTCTTTTTTCTCCCCTTTTTTTCTTCTCATCCCTCTTAATTTGTTTGTACCATATCTTAGTTTAGTCGAGTTAGTTACTGGCAGTGGGCCACTGACAGCATCACTACCACCAAACAGTACACGTGTAGAGAAAACATACTGTATTAATGAACAAGAAAACACAGACTTACACTAAGGCACAAACCACAGACCACAGGGTTTGCACATACAACCATCACAGACACATATACTCAAAGATATGCACACACATACACACGCACGCACGCAAACACTTCCTTTGTTTCAGAGACTCTGGAAAACCCCTGGCAGCTGCCTCCAAGGTCACAGGTGTGTGTTTAGTGTGTGTTTGAATGCTGTTCAAATTAATATATACATTTATGCATGTGTATGTCTAGGTGTGTATGTGTGCGATCTTGCACTAATGTAAAGGTGTGCATTGACATTGCCAACCTTTTAGCATGTGGGGTTTTGTGTGTGTGTGTGTGTGTATTAAGTCACACCAAGGTCAAATATGCATTAAGCCAGGCATGAAATGGAGTCATAGCGGCAGCTCCACAACACTGACTATGATGAAGACATCTCAATGCTAATGGGGAGATTGATTGACCTCACTGTCACAAGGGTGTGTATGTGTGCGTCTGAGTGTGTGTGTGTGTGTGTGAGACATAGAGATATTTGGAGAGCATATATAGAGATATATGACGTGAGTGTGGCTAGTGTGTGTTTGACAAGAGAGAGCCATTGATTGAGAGAGAGAGAGAGAGAGAGAGAGAGAGAGAGAGAAGTGAGTGTTTTGTGTGTGCGTGTGTATGAAGGCCGTTTACCCTGTCAGTGAGTGTGTATGTTAATGCAGTCCTTCATGCTTGGCAGAGTGCTATATAAAGTTTCCTCCTCCCCCTGTGACTTTATTAAGACTCAGTTATGAATGACTTCGACTCAGAGTATCACTGTTTTAACTTAACTCCTTTGACACCACCAGTGTGCCTGTCTGTGTACCTGCATTTATATATTATATTTCTAAATTTCTATATCTTTTTACAACAATCCTCCAAAGTTAAGAGGTAAAATATTCTTATGAAGCTATGCAGCCTTCACTCGCGGTGAACCTTTGCATGATAAAGGCAAATATAATTCAGTTGTTTTGAGGTTTGAACAACCCTGAAATTCTAATTGTATATTGTGCTATGTAAACAATACAGGATAAGATGTTGTGGTATAGAAAAATAACATGTTTAAGCTGTTCATCAGAAATATGTTCAAGATATAATTGATATGATTTTGGACAGCTGCCAGCCAATTAGAAGTGAGTATTATCTGTAGTTATTGTATAATTCAATATAATTTATGAACTTTCTGATACCCCAAAAGGCAATTACTGTAAAATCCAATTATACTGAAGAAATTACTTCATTACAGTAGCAACTGTCCTTATACAGAGGAAGACAAAAGCTATATACCCTGTTCAGATTCATTACAGTATGTATCAGCAAACTCTCTCTCTCTCTCTCTCTCATAGTAATTAGATTTGCAATAGTCAAACAATAATTGAAACTGAAATTGAAATTATGCTAAACACCATTAAATTATAATCTACATACAAGGTAAATGGTAAATGGACTGCATTTGTATACCACTTTCATATAGCAGTTTGTAAACAGTAGCTAGAACAGTGCACAATAATGCACTAAAGTTAAGGATAACATCAGTGTCAGTATTTTTTTGGCATTGCTGTATGAATATAAATATATAAAAAGGTTTGCATCTAGCTTAATTAATAACAGATTTAATGCACCACTCACTGAGCATGCTAAGTGACTCAAATCAAATGCTCATGGTGGATCCTCCGGTGGTGATTTCTACATGTGTTACATTGCTGAGGACCTTATACCTTTAGCGAGGTATGTGAGGCCTTTCTGCTATTAATGATCATTTTGGGCAGATAGTTGAGGACTTGCGCAAAACTCACAAAATGACACTCAGCCAGGTAAGTACAACCACTGCTTTGCCTAGCAACATAGAACTGTGTGCAATAAGCATTGCACTGCAGTTCTCTCTCTTCTCTTTGATACACCTGTTAGTGACTGCAACCGCTGTGTACATTGTTATACATCTGTGTTGTCTACTTTGGTGATGCTTTATTCTGCAGTTGACAGTTTCAATAGCTCTTTTTAGTTATTATTGGTCATTTGTGTTAAATTGTCTGAGCTTTGTCTCTTTTCTGGTTAATTGTAGTGAGGCTATACATTGTTGGCTTGGACATCACAACTCGGTGGCGTGATGTTCCACTAGTGTTGTTGAATAGACATTTAATGTGATTGTAGCCCATTGGAACTTTTGATTAGAGCCTTCAGCTGACGGAGATTTTTCAATATATCATTACTATAAATAGTTTAATAGAGATACATCTCCAATGTAAAAGAGTATTTAAATTTTTATTTTCTTATTTTTCAGTGTCCCCCAGTAAAAGAAGTTTAGGGGGGTTCAGACAGTTCATAGAACTTTTAGTTAAGAAGTTGAAAGGTACAGTATGTATTAAATCAATGTGATGCTTTGAAGGCAAAACAAAATGCATTGCCAATGAATATTAGGTTAGCATTAACATTAGCGTTAACATTTGCCAAATTTAACGTTACTTCCTGTATAAACCACACACTGTACACCTCTGGTTTGACTTTACACTTACTAATAACCATATTTAATGTCAAATGTATCTACAATACACCGGTCACCTATAATGAAGACAAACTTACATTAGATTGAAACAGATACTTCACTTCTGCCACTGGACTTTGCAACTCCAACAAGTGTACATC